AGCCCCGCCGGGAAAAGCCGCAATCTTTTTCTTCCCCGCCGCTGGAGCTTCAGCGGCGGGTGCGGGCGGAGGAGGAGTAGGAGGCGATGACGACGCCGGAGATTGAGAATTTCCCGCGGCGGCTTTAGCCCTAGCCTCGGCGATCTCATCCTCGGTCTCGGCGAGGAGAGCAATGGCGGAGCCGACGGGAGCAATTCCGCCTTCCTCGACCATAATGGCAGCTAGATAACCGTCGTAGAAGGTCTCGACGTCCATGTCGGCTTTATCGGACTCAACCACAACGACGCGCTCGCCTTTGTTGAGCTTCTCGCCTTCGGATTTAACCCACGACACGATCTTGCCCTCGGTCATCGTGGAACTGAGAGCCGGCATGAAGATCTCCCGGATCTTAGCCTGGACGGGGACGACCCGAGTCTTAACCCGGAAACCCGGAACTCCGGATCGGGTTTTCATTGGGAGAGACGGCGAGGGCAAGAACGAGGTCTGGAGAAGGTGAGACATTTTGGGTCCGAGCAATGCCGGAGAAACCAAGAGTCGCAACCAGATGACCTACAGAGAGAGAGAGAGAGAGAGAGAGAGAGAGAGAGAGAGAGATTTGGGTTTATGGAGAGAAGAGAAGGGTGAGTTCCTCGGAGATATCGAAATCAGGCGGAGTTCTCAACTACTTTACCGGTGACGAACCTCTGTCTGGGATGACGGGTTCGGTTGTATAAAACCCAATAATCCGAATCGAATTATCGATTCAATTCGATATAATTATGAATTTTTTAAGTAAAAAAAATTACATCAAAACTAAACAACGAAACTAATTATAAAAATAATCAAATATAAAATAAATGAATGTTTTTATTAACAAAAACAAACTAATTTAATAGATGTATTAATATTTTTAAAATAGAAATAACAAAAAAAATGTTTACTGTGTTTTTGAGTGGTAGCAAATTCGACGTTAAAAACGGTGGGTGATATTCAACGCTTTTTAAACGCCGTCACCGTTTGAGTGGGCCTCATACAAACATATGAAGGCCCAATATATTTGTGTTGGACTAAGGCCCATTAAATAAGCTTATTGGGCTAGACTTGTAAAGACGCACCTTTGGACACGTTCCTATCAAAATATAATTATGTCACGATTTCAAAAAAAAAAATACAATATCAGATAATCCTACACCACAACAATTATTTGAAATTGACTATTATACACGTTTGAATAAATATATATATATATACGTTTCAATTAACTCACACGCATCCACGTATATCCCCACATATTCAATAATCCCAGCTAAAATTACCCAATTTTCGAATATATATTACCATTAAAAAATCGGATTTTAAATCTTATTTTTTGGATATCGTGTTTCGGATTTTGTTAGTTCACCACACACGCACAGATACTCGACACCTCTCTATAATATTAAGATCATTCTTGACTCTTGCACATATTCTGATGACTGATAAAATGTACAAAAGGACAAATACGTGGGTAGAATTTTGTCATGTTTCATCCTTATTCGGAAGACCATGATATAGTTTATCTGTTATTGGATTAATAATTTATAAAAATTCGAACTGCAGGGATGAACCATCCAGCATGATAGATAGTGTTGATTTTTTTCAAAACGCGTGGAGGTAACACAACGAAGGGAAATCACTGCTTTCAAAAAGAAAAGATTACCCTTTTCTCTCTCACTTTCCTCACTTGGCAAAGCCCACGCATCTACGATTTTTCGTTTGGGTTTGTATCGTATAGTATTTTGCTTGTGTTGATGGGCGAGTTAGATGCTTCATCAGTTGCAGCTTCCTTCTGTCTTGTCTCACTTCCTGTCCCCTCCTCTTGTCTGTTTTCTGATCTACCCATTTTCCTCTCCAATCCCTAAATCTCCTCCTCCTCAGCCTCTTTGATCCTCTTTCTCACCCACCGGATCTGAAAGATTCTGCCTATCACTGCAAAAACGCCTTCTGCTTAGCAGAATCGAGCTTAGTCGAGAAACCCAGAAGCGAAATTTCGGTTTTTTGCCTTCTGGGTATTTAGGGTTTTCAGGGGGTTTCTTGTGTTTGGCACGTAGACGAAGAAGAAGAATGGCGGGTTCGGGCGGGAGTTGGAGAGACGCGTACAAGGGAATGTCGTCGGATAATATAAAAGGGTTAGTGTTGGCTCTTTCTTCGAGCTTGTTCATCGGCGCGAGTTTCATCGTGAAGAAGAAAGGTTTGAAGAAAGCCGGCGCTTCTGGTCTCAGAGCAGGTGATTCTTACTTCTTGAGCCAATTCAGGTTCGATTGATGAATTCGGCGATCTGGGTTTTGGTTTTTCTGAGATGGGTAAGTCAGATTTTGTTCTTGAGTGCAATGACTTCTGGGTTTTTGCTGCCCAAGCTTCGTCAAACTTCTGGGGATGAATCTGGGATCTGTGATTGCTTCACTGGAAAACTGAGTGTGGAACTTACTGTAAGTTACTTACAACGGAGTGAGTGGCTGAGATTGGAGCTTCATGTTATTGGGTGTTAAATGGCAAAATTTTTGAGACTTTAGCTCTGAAAGATTTCTGAAACTTCTTCAATGTATTCGAGTACAGAGTATGCCATGGCAGATTCAGGTGCAGTGTTCGTTTAGAAATGCTAGTGGATCTTTTGATCGAGCCATTTATAAGGAGCTCATGATCAATGGCTACCGAGGATCGTGTCATTTGTTGATGACTCATATTTTTATTAACTGAATCTATTGCATCTGGTTTCGATAATTGCTTGAACTGTGTTTATGGTGATGATATATCGGGTGTATACGTTACTGTGTTGCTGTTATAATACTCTTCTTATTTCCGGTTTTGGTGATGATATCTTGTAGGTTCTGGAGGTTATTCTTACCTGATGGAGCCTCTCTGGTGGATAGGCATGATAACGAGTGAGTTTTCATGATCGGGATAATGGTTTTGCTTGGATTCATCGAATTCCCGGATTGAGTTACTCACCATCATCAATTCACCACATCAACGGTCTTTTTCTTGTTTCTCAGTGATTTTCGGGGAAATTGCAAATTTCGCCGCATATGCCTTTGCACCTGCCATTCTGGTTACGCCTCTCGGTGCACTCAGCATTATTATCAGGTTTGAATAAACTCGAGTTGAACGCCTTGGGCTATAATGTTTTTGTGTGTAAATTCATAATGCACTACTATTCCTTTCTCAGTGCTGCTCTCGCTCATATCATCCTCCGGGAAAAACTGCACACTTTCGGGATCCTCGGTTGCGTTTTATGCGTCGTTGGTTCAATAACAATCGTGCTACATGCTCCTCAAGAACGGGAAATCGATTCCGTGATTGAAGTATGGAATCTCGCTACAGAACCAGGTAACTACGAAAAGTTTTGAATCAATATTTGGATTTTCCGTGGTGGTGGTGAAATCTGTTCTGAAACACGACGGGGTAACATTTCTACAGCTTTTCTTTTCTACGCGGCTTTGGTGGTAGGAGCAGCCATTGTACTCGTGGTTCAGTTTATCCCGCAGTACGGGCAGACACACGTCATGGTCTATATCGGGGTTTGTTCTCTCGTGGGATCATTGTCGGTACGTTATTACACTGATCACAGATAATGTTCTTACACGTTGATCTTGTTTCCCGGGCTGATGACGATATATCGAGCATCGTGAACAGGTGATGAGTGTCAAGGCGCTCGGGATAGCGTTGAAGCTGACTTTTTCGGGAACAAATCAGTTAGTTTACCCTCAGACATGGGTCTTCACATTGATTGTTCTCACATGTGTGATAACACAGATGAATTATCTAAACAAGGTAACAAAAAGCTAACTCGGGTTTGTGATACTGTCTCGATAATTTAACGATTTGTCGGAAAAGGCTAACTCGGGTTTTCTCGTCTTTTTTCGCTTCAAGGCTCTCGACACGTTCAATACGGCGGTTGTTTCGCCCATATACTACGTTATGTTCACTACACTGACGATCTTGGCCAGCATCATCATGTTTAAGGTATTTTTCTCGATTCTTGTTGGTATACGGAGATATCTCGATGGTTACAGATGTGGAACTGCTTCGGACAGGACTGGGATCGGCAGACCGGAACTCAGATCGTAACTGAGATGTGCGGGTTCGTGACAATCCTCTCGGGGACGTTTCTTCTTCACAAAACCAAAGACATGGTTGATGGTAAGTTTTGGCTTCCGTGGAAGCGTGAACGTCGATATTTCAGCTCTTAATGTTTGATTTTTTCAGGTCGGGTTTATCCGAATTCGAATCCGAGCTTCTCGGGTTTCACGAGTTATTACCTGATCTCAAATACGTTTCGCATACCCAAAACTGGGTAACCAAGAAGTATCCAAACCAAGTTTGCATACGAAATCTCGAAAGTTTCAAAATAAATATCATATAATTGAAGTTGACTTTAGTCGGTAACCGAAATTTTCTGGTTACCTGAATCCGATATTTCAATATATTACAATAGGTTTGTAAATAATATCTAAAACTTTTGGTAAAAGTCTCATTCTGCTATTCTTTTGGATATCCGATCTTGTATCCAATTAACCGAATCCAAATCCGATCTCATCTCGTGTAGTGCTCGGATACTCGAATTCCGGGTTTTCTGTCCAGCCCTGATATTCGAGACGAAATTAAGACTTTGCAGGGTCTAATGCAGGTTCATCGTCGGGATCTCTGCTTCTACGTCTTCCGAAACACTCGGAAGAAAGCAACGGGTTCGAGCAAGAAGGCATTCCCCTGAGACGCCAAGGATCCGCGAAGTCGCCACGTCCGTTGCGCCACCCGAAGCATACGCCAGAAGAGGAAGGGTTCGACCCCGAAGCCGTCGTCCCTCTCCGCCGCCAAGAGACTTGTCGTTCCTCGTGACGTTGGATAAAAACGAAAGAGGATATATATACACCTAGATGATTCTTTTTCTTCTCTGGCTGTGTTGGTTTTTGCACTGAAGGGTTTTGTTCTTCAGGTATGTAATTGTTCACGAAATACTGTTATACACACTGTACCCTTCCCTTCTCTTCTTCACCCTCTGCGTATACAAAGAAGCTGAGCTCTTCGGCTTTCAGGTTTCCCGTTTGCGTTTGTGAAATCGCAGCGTTTGCGATTTGAGAATCGACACGAGTAGCAGCGGTTGTGTTATGAGTGAAATAATGAATCGGATACTCTCTTTTTCTGAGTTCTGGTGAATGGTACAAACAAAAAAGCCAAGGAGCCGTAAAAGGCATTGAACTGAACAAAAATGGAGAGCTTACACAACGAAGGCTTGAACAAAAATCATCTGACATTTTCGTATACCTTGTGGTCGTAGCTGAGTCGAGCTGCTGGCTCATCCCGTGGTTCGATCAGGTCGTTTGCTCTGGTGACAGCCATGGAAACGCCGAGGATAAAACTGTCCCGGCTATATACAGAAGGGGACTAAGGTAGATAGGTACAGCTCAGAAAATGTCTCTATTGCGTCATCGTTGCTGATAGTAGAAGGTTTCGCTTCTCCTCTGATCTGTGACGGTATAACTTTGCGATTTTTCTCCTCTCGCAATCCTGAAATGCCATCAAACACGAGGGGGAAACTTAGAACCGTAAAATGAAACCTGGTCCTAGAAAAAGTTTACAAGTTTATAAGCATGTGATGTGAGCGCGAACCCTAATTCCACCACAAAAACTAACTCTTGAGCGGAGGTTTATTCCTTACTTATATTTTAGAATGGATCCTTATACACGTTCCGGATGTGGGACACATCAGCATGACCATGACAGTTTCATGAAGACCTGAAGACAGGGAACCTTACCTTGAACATATGAAGATAAAATGGTTTGTCGGGATTTGTCTTTCTTAGTTTCTGGTAGGTGTATGCAAAGCTTAGCTGATCCCGAGGAGTGAAACGCTCAACTTCATTGAACCAAAGGCAGGAGAAGAGGTTTGACATTGGAGTATGAGCTCGTACTATAAATGACCCTTCAGGAACATCTGTGGACAAACATAAAAAAACAACCTGGTCATAAGCGATGACACGGGAAAACGAAAAAGAAAAAAAGCTTCAGTGTTAGTGGAGGATGTCGGCAGTTTTATCAGAAAGAATCTTACTGCTAGGAAGAAGCTTGTTGGGATCTGAGGAATTGAATCTCGTCAACCCATCGGCCTTGTAAAACTGAAACTGCTGATTGATGACAGTGTGGTTGTATTTGTTCAGCTTCTTGTTCTGAACAACCTCTTCCCAGACACAATGACGGTCGTAATGATTGGAGATAGCGTACTCGTGACCTTTACGCCAGAGGAAGTACTCCAGAATGAGTAGAGGGTCCAGTTGGAGACGTAACTTGCTGTCCAGCCATATTGAGTACCTGAGAACACATAAAGTATATCAGTTTCTCTATGTTTTAGGACAGATTTGGTCCAGGTGGCAGAGGGTTTGTGGCTCAGCACGACAATCATAAATGTATTAGAACATATTCCACACTACTAGCGTCCTTCCCCATACATTTGTTCAACCTCAACCGTGAAAACATTTATCTTGTTATTCATGCTAGCTTTAGGTGGAACTTGACCCAGTTTGACACGCTGAAATGAAAGCTATCCTCAGGCTGTGAGTCTCACCTTGCAGAGGGGAAAAGCCGATGCGGTAACAGTTTTGGTATTTTTCCTACCCTCCGCATATCTGAGTAAGGAAGATTCTTCACGGCGACCAACTTCCACAAACCAATGAAGCCTGCTCTATCTGGGGTTTGGCCTTCTGAAGAAAGTGTTTGAAAGGTAATGTCGTCCACAAACATTACGAAGCAGACATTTTTTCTTGACAAACGACTTACCTAGATGCAAAGAGAAAAGTAGCTTAGAACAAGTCATGAATTATGACCCCAGTTGATACATTCTATATGCAAACAAAACGAGAGCCCCAAACAAAAGTGTAAATCCTGTCCTTTGGGATTGGGGACCGGAAGATACAAGTTAACTTCTACTCCACCAATGATGAACCCATCCCAGGAACTGGTACGCCTACACCTATTACGGGCCCAGACTGGCAGAGCAATCAGCAATGAATTGCGTCCACATTTTGATGTAAACACCATATGAACCACCTTTTAGATTCCCATAACTCGAAACTTGCTTGTGGTTCAAAATGAAGCCTATATCTATATTATCTTCTGACTGCTTGCAGTCAAATATATTTTCCCGCTGCTCATCCAGTTATTCAGTTTGGCCAACAATTAGCCTACCATAGCCACTGGTACACCTGTGTTGAATCTTAAGATATCAAACTCAGATTGCATGTCTCAGCCGGTGAATAACTGAATGAAACTAAAACTTAGGCTCCATATATGCATGACAGCCTACTCTGGAGATACATCACTCCAACGGACTACCAGACTAATGCATGCTTCTACAGAACAATGGTCCTAAAACACAAATCCTATATCTAAAAAAATAAGGCAACATAAACATCAAATTCATCAATCAACTACAGAATGCATGATATCGTACCATTTTACTAGCAGGAGCTCTCAATCGATCAGAATTCCCGAAGATGCAGGAAATAACAGCAATGTGGCATCTGCTGATATAGTTAGCATCATCTTCTGACAGGTCAAATCCAGTACTAGGCGTTCCTTTAGGTCCTTTGACAAAACCGCAATGGATTTCCTTGTCTTGAACCAAGAAGGATTCTTTCCACTCCTCTACACTCTGGTGACCTGAAAATCTAGGCTCCCACCCTTCATCTCCATTGGGTTTCTCCTCCCTCTGTATGTACTGTAAAGAGAACCTAGCAAATTTTCGAGTTTCCAAAGGCTCTACTATTGGTTGACTAGAATTTAACAGCTTCATCTCACAAGATGCACCTGAATGATTTGAACAAAAAGCCGATGGTCAGAAGTAGATAACCAAATTTCTGAAGCCAATTAACTATAAAAAGCCACCCGAAAACTTACGCCTAGATCGTTTTCTTTTTTCAGATCGTGATATTTTTCCAGATTTGATACTTGTAGCAATAGGAGAAGACTCCACACCTGATGCTTCTTCATCATCCTTCTCAGTTTTCTGATGCTTGGTCATGGAGCGAAGAAACTCCGAAGGTTTCTCTTTCTGGGATTCTTCTTTCTCATTCTCATCATGCCCAGAACCAACATAATCATCCGCTAGAACATCATGAGAATCAATTGCATCATTGTCTTTGTGGTCAGCATCAAATGCATTATGATGAACACCATTTTCTTGGGTGGATTGCCCACCCTTCTCGAGCGATGCCTGATACTCTGCTTCATACTTCTTTAGTTCATTGCGTCCGGCTTCATTGTAAAATCCAACCCCTCTCCAATCTTGGGAATTGTCATGTGAGAAATCTTTTTTCACTTCAGATACTGACCTCTCCTCATTGATGGATTTGTTCGAAGAAGCTAATCTTTTATCCACTACATCCTCATTGTAATCATCATCTCGTCTTCTGTCATCCTTATCCCAATATCTTGAGTCTCGTCCATGTGCCACCGAACCATGACCAAACATAAGTGTGTTTGAAGGGTCCATTCTTGTAACATTAGTAAGAAAATCGCCATCATAAGTATCAAATCCTGCGAAAAATGCAGAAGAAAGTGTTAATTCATTCCTGATATCTGAGAAAAAAGGACGCAAGGAGATCCATCCCTCGCATCAAGTTCCCAAGGATTTCCATTAGATAGAACTTAACAGAGATTATCAGAAGCAATCTAAGACAGTTGTCTGATATCAACGTGTTCAAGCCAAATCAACGAACATAAGGAATCCAATTTAGCTTAATCTAAGACTTCCCTTGAAACGACGCTAAAGAAAACTGACCCTTATCATCGTTGCCATTGCTGCTGTAACCGGAGATGTGATAGTACACTAACACAGTGACAACGAGCACAATACATAGGACGAACAGGATAGAACCGACGGCGAGGCGCAGACTCCTGTCCGGCCGAGCGGATCGCCGCCACCGACCGGCCTTCCCGCCTCCGCCGCCGCCGGCCGAGCGAATCCCGATCGCGACGTGATCCGACGACGCGCCGCCGTTGGAATAATGAGGGTAACCGCCGCGAGCGCCGTACCTCTCTGTTCCCGATTGCCTGTGTTGAGCCATTCTCGCATTGTAGACCCACTCTCCTCCTCTTCTCTCTCTCCCTCTGCGTCACATCACGCGACTCTAGAGAGAGAAAAGTCTCTGCGTACAGCGGGAGAACGGAAGGAGACAGGAGATTTGAACTATGGAAGAAGCAAAGCTTATTAATTCGTATGAGTTTTCTCTCTTGACCAATTAGGCCGATTCAGCCATTAATACATTCTGATTAGGTGAGAAGAGAAGAAGAAGATGACGAAGGCGCGTGATTGTAACGCGCTTCCGGTGAAACGCGGTGGGTCGATCTGGGACAGGCAGACGAAACTACGTAAATACCCTTTTGATCCGACCCGATATGGATTTCGGATCCTCTTTCCGATTATTTTGGGTGATAAGCAGAAGCAGGCTTGCTCCTTTTAATTAAAGACCAAATTTTAAATGAAGACAAAAAAATCCAAGAAAAATAGATTAACACACAACCGTGTCTACTTATATTTGAGTTTATTCAATTATGAACATGCTTATTTAATATAAAATTTTGGTATAAATGGTTTATCATATTGTATTCTTCTCTCAGTCAAATAGATCTGGGATTCGAATTATGTTCTAGTGAAAGAAATTATGCAAAATACCCTCTTTTAAGTAAAGCTACTTGTGATTATATTACCAAAATAACTCGATGATCAAATGGTTATCACATTAATCATGACTTTAAATTTTTGGTGTTACATATTGAACTAATCATTTAGTGAAACCATCATAAATTAATGTTATTACTAATGTGACCACTATATGACAATAGTATCATTCTGACTAAATAAGATTTTTTGGATATTTCCACGTTTTAAGAATAGAAAAATTTTAAGGTATGATGATCCAGAAATAAATGGAGATTTAATCTGCATATAGAAAATTTAAACTTATCGCTTTATAATTAAACATCATTTAAGATATTTTACGGTCAATCCAAAAAAATATTTCACATCTGTTATAGAAAGAAAACAACAATAAGAAGGATACAACGATTAAATTAGTTGGTTGGCCACATTGGAATGAAATAATATAGATCCATTTAATGCAATAGATAGTAACAAGTTGTAACTTAGTAATATTATTACTTATTTATTTCCTTTAATTAGTATTTTTAAATAAGGAGTTCCACACTGTCATAAAAACGCTTGATATGTAGAAATCCATGGTTTATTGGAATAGAGAAAACGGTAAAACTTTGTTTTACAATAATTCAATTCGAAATAAACCAATTCAGATTTTTCAAATTGATTTTAACCGAAATCAAATGTTTTATACATGGTTAAGTGCGATCTGATAGAAATCAATTTTATATTTTTCTCGTTGAACTAAGATAAAATGATTGAAGATAAGATGATTCAAATGATAAAAGATGTGGTAAATGTTTTTTTTAACACGTTCTAGTTTTATTTGACGAAAGCATTTATATAGACTTTTCAGACCTTATAAAAATATAATTGGAATATTTATATAAACTTTTTATTTTTATTTTTTGGAGTTATAATTGGTATGAAGTTCGATAAACTTAAGAATTATAAAACAAAATTATTTTTCTCTTTGAATAGATAAATAATACTTATTAGAAATTATACACAAAAATAAATTAATTTTATTTTCTTTACTGCGAGAGAAACGCAAAAATGTTTTAAAGAATCAGATGAAAATTTTATATTTATGATTAATAAAATATATTTAATTTGTAATATGTCAAACATTATCTTTTAATAATTAATATTTTTATAATTAATAATTGATGATTTTTTATAATAATTTTTTTTAAAAAAATATTATTTTAAATAATTTATATAATTAATAATTTTTTTCTGGTTGTTTTTTATAAGTTTTTGTTTCTGTCCAAAGAATTATAACAGAAAAAAAAAAGAGTTCCTACCGATTTGTTCGTGAATCTCTCAGGCAGACTCGGAATTCGAATCCATTGGGACGACGGCACACGCATCTGATAAAATTCGAAGAACTTAGGGTTTAGGTTTTTCTCGTGGAGCATCCTTCAATGGCGGCTCCTCGGGGTCTGACAGGTGAAGGTGTGGGGAGGCTGCTCACGAGGGACGAAGAGAGCGCCGCCGACGATGGCGACTCTTCTACGGGCAAAGGACCCAAATCAGGGGGACTCCCGCTCTCGCGGTGGGAGTTACCCACGTTTTCCGGCGTCTTCGTTGTGTTTTCCGCCGGACTCGTGTATATATCTCACCATGCCCGCCGCCGATTACGACAAGCTCAAGCTTCCCAGAACCATCTCCGATCTCCAATTGCTCAAGTGGGCTTCTACTTTCTCTCTCCCCTTGTTTTTTATTTTCTCAGCTCGAGGTGTGAAATTTTCAGTCTGTTTATATGGGAACTGAGGGATGGAGTTTCGTTTTCTGGGTTATTGTCTGATGAGGTTTTAGATTTCGGGATTATGGTTAAAGTTTATGTTTAGCTTTAGAAAGTTTCTTCGAATCCAGGTCCATGGTTTAAGGGGCAAGTAGAAAGTTCCAATCTTTTCGGAGATAACAGAGTTTATTGCTATTTTTGCTGCACAAAACGTTAGATGGTGATTAGAGAAACAGTAGTATTACTTATTAAGACATGAAACACGTTAAGAGAGAAGAGTTTCTGTGATAATTGTGTTAGTTGTGCCTGAAAAAAAGGCTCTGTCTTGCCTTTTTTCTGGGTACTGGTTGATCAGAAAACAAGCTTTAGCTTTCACTGATGGCTGTGGCTATTGATCTCAGTGTGCATGTACCCGCGGTAGCATTCAAATAATGCCCTTTGATTTCACATGGTTCTTGGTATTAATGGAACGGATACTTTAGTTTAGAGGTGGCCAAACATGTTCCTCGTGAGACCGGTGGATCTGAAAATTGGCACCAGACGTTGTTATTCACGTCAGCATATAGCCTTATCATTTTCCTATGGATTGGATCAACATCAATGGTTGATTCAGTTTACGGGTTGTCATTGTCATTGTGTTTTAGGAACAATTGATGCATATGCCTCGGTTTTCTGCTGCTTTGGTAAAACGGGTTGATCTGGAACATATGCAGGGATAGCCTTGGGACCTATGCGAGAGATTACCCAGCACGTTTCATTTCGGGTTACTGCTCAACGTATATCTTCATGCAGACATTCATGATACCCGGAACCATCTTCATGTCATTGTTGGCTGGAGCCCTCTTTGGCGTCGTAAGAGGCTTTGTCTTAGTTGTCTTCAATGCAACAGCTGGAGCATGCTCTTGTTTTCTCTTGTCAAAACTAGTTGGAAGACCCCTAGTTTTCTGGCTGTGGCCTGACAAACTACGGCTTTTTCAAGCCGAGGTAGTCTCTCTCGTCTTGTTCAAGAGATTTAGGCTCTCTCTTTGACGATGTTGTGATCTTCCAATTCTATGGATTCAGTTGGGAAAAGAAGGGATAAACTTATGAACTACATGCTGTTCTTGAGGATAACACCGACACTCCCTAACCTCTTCATCAATTTGGCATCTCCGATCGTCGACATACCCTTTCACGTGTTCTTCTTGGCAACGTTGGTTGGCCTAATGCCGGCTGCATATATCACCGTAAGAGTGAGTTATTTTTTTTCTTCCTTATTCTTATCAGAACGATATCTTCTCTATTTTCATGTTTTTTCCCTCGTCCCTCGATGTTACATCGCGTAAAGCTGTGCTTTCTTTGTGGATACAACAGGCTGGTCTGGCTCTCGGAGATCTCAGGTCAGTAAAAGACCTGTACGACATCAAGACTCTGACCGTGTTGTTCCTCATTGGGTCCATTTCCATATTCCCCACCTTACTGAAGAGAAAGAGAGTGTACGAATGGATAAGATTCTTATGTAAATACTTAATACATAAGAAGGAGGGAGCATCTTCCATTTGGTTTCATTGTCATAATATATGGCTTTGATTCGATTATACGAAGAGAAAAAAGTGAAGAAATATGTTTCTTCTTTAGCATCTCCTTGTAGCAATTGCTGGTGCAGAGTTGATTTTGCAGCAATCGCACAATAGTTTGGGTCCATACATTATGCGTCCCAAGGTCTACATGCCAATGTTGCGCGATCTCAGTCCAATTCCAACCTATAAGAGTAAGGGTGGGCATTTCCAATCATAGTTTTGGGACTTAGATGGTGTGAAGATGAATTCAGTCATCCAACGACAATTATTACTCTTGGACTCTCCCAACAATAAAATGTTCTACAAAACTATTTCAGACGAAAATCTACAGCTTGTCTGAACCTGACACGGAGCTGCCATTAGGCCGTGCCAGATATACTACATGTTGGGTCTTTGAGTTTTAATTTGATGATGAAACTGAGACAAGAAAAAAAAAAGATAAAAAAAAATGGAAACACTTTCATTATGGAAGCAAAGAGTGCAAGGAATTACATACAAAATCAGAAACATGGGTGTGAACTCAACTAACATTGAAGAAATTCATGTCAAAGTTCATCCTCTGAACATCTCTAGACGGCGACATTGGCGGCTGCTGGATAATCCTCATACCCCGTGATTCCTGTGATCCTAATCCTCGTATTCGGCTGCAATGTTAAAAAAAAATGAATTGAAGTGTCAAAGGATCGGAGCTATGTGAACACACTCACATTGAACCAATAAAGCAATATGTATGTTGTAGAAGAGATCTTCCATGCATCATTTGGAATTCAGGAATGATGTGGTTTTTTAGGAACAAGTAACCGATTCACGGGGGCACTGAAAATACCTGTCGATGTCCGATATTTCTACGGTACTTCTTCTTCGGCTTGTATTTGAAGACGACCACTTTATCATTCAAGCCCTGCAACATAAAGAAACATCGTAGTTTCCCAAGTGAGGGAAAACAAGGAAGAGAGAAACGGAAGACAGAACTCGAAGAAGTTTTGTCTTAATAACTTACATGGTCTTCCACCACTGCGTGAACGGTGGCATTAGTCACAACGGGCTTGCCAATGTAAGTATGAGTCTTTGTGCCGACGAGCAAAACCTTGTTCAGGACAATCTGCACAATGCAAGAACAAGAAAAAAGAGGAATTTGGGCATTTTTTTACAAGGCAAAGGAAAGTGAAGAACCAAGTAGTTGCTCGGAAAGCAACCAAGAAAATGCCACATAGTGATCTTAGATGGACCCAACTGAAATCTCGTCGAAATGCAACTATTCATTTTTTTTTTCTCTTTCTGGTTGATAAGATTCGTACCATGAACTTTTGGAAGGAACCAGTAACAGAACATGACTTCAAATCCTTAATGTTCAAATTAAGACAAACATTAAGAAAGATCAAGAATTCTCAGATTTCCATAAGACCTTATCATCCACATTTGCATCCTTCAGCCTCTGAGTGTAGAGATATCTCCCCGGAAAGACTATATACTGGCGGCCACCAACCTGTCAGACCAAACAGCCGTAAAACCATATCAGAGATTGCAAGTCCCTGTTTACATGATCCAAAGACTAACGCAAAAGCTAATAATAAGAAAAAAGATGATGACTTGCAATCTGGGTCATTTGAAGAAATTGATACAGAGACCAGAACATCGATTTCAAACAGCAAAATGTTCTTATCCTTATCCATCAGCCCCGACAAGGATTCGAGCTCCTAGAACTATACAACCATAGTTGCTCAAATGATCAGCTCAAACTACCCACATAAACAGTAACCTTATCAAAACCTAAACAAAACCAATAACCAATAAAGGAAGGAAATCCCCTAAATTGGGAAATTTCATTGCACTTTTCAGCTACAACTCACCATGACGACGGCGAAAACCTCTTCCCTCTTGGGCTTTTCCGCAGCTACCTCGGCAGGTTCGGACTCAGTAGACTCAGTAACCTCGGACTCGGACTCGGACTCCACAACGGGCGCTTCAGATTCGGCGAATTTGGGAGCGAGTCGGAATACAGGTCGGGTCGACCCGACGGATGAAGGAGCGATGAACCCAGGCACGGGTTTAGCCACGGGAATCGACGGCTTAGGGAGAGAAACGAGATTAGGGTTACAACGATTAGGAGTGGCCTTACAGTGCGCCGCGAAGGAAGAACAGAGAGAGAGCGTCGCAGAGGAAGACGCCATTGTTGTTTGCCGAGAGCTCTAAAGCTCGTAAAGCCTTTTGCCTCTCTCGCTCGTCCGGAGGTTAGCTTCCGAGGAAGGAAAAAATGGACGGACTTATCCTATCCACTCACCCCTCAAATTACGAAAATAACCTTGTAGTATATTTTTTTGTGTAATAATCTTATTAATGCAACTGTTTTTTTTTTCTTGTTATAATCATAACATAGTTCAAAACAACTTTCTAACATCAACACATCATTAACGATTTAATCTCAAATTTATTCGAAAATAAAGTTGATATTACATACACAAATTAGGAAGCTGCTCACCTACAAAACAATTAAAAAGAAAACTAGAATACCTTTATTTTTGTTTTTGTTTTCTGTGTATTCTGAATTTTTTTTTAAAGAATAATTTGAATTTTGTTTTTTGGTGACGAATCAAGAGTGTGGAGGAGAGGATGTATCATTGTTACCAACAACTCCAAAGGCGTCGGCTAAGTTGAAGTTCAGGTTGCTTCTCATCGTTCTGCTCCTCCCAACTCCGTCGCCCTTCCTCATCATCGCCGAGAACTCCGAAAAATCGATCCTCCCGTCCTAACCCGAAACACAAAATATGTTCTTACAAAATGTTTACCGTAAAAGAGTCGATCCGATGCAAGATTATAAACCCTAAAACCGAGCCCGAACCGCTAAACTCGGGGTGAAAAGAAAAGGTCTCACTGCCTCTAAACGCTAGAATTAAGCCCGACCCATGAGGCAATTCTTGTCTGGGTTACGGTTGGTTTTGGTTTGCTTCCCGGTTTGAAATGAACCAGGGTCTTAAACCAGAACCGGTTTGTCAGAAGCAAATACATGCTGCCCTGGTTTACTGATGATCCTGTGCAATTCACTGACAATTATAAACGGTAAACTAAGCCCGACCCACGATTAGTTTTGGTTTGCTTCTCGGTTCATCTCAAATCATAACCAGTTTGTCAATAGGAGGGGGCTTACATTGTCGAGATCAATCTCCTTGATCATATCTTCGATTGGGGAATCACAAAGACCGAACTCTTTGGAAGCTTGTTGAAGCTCGTCGACAGTGATATATCCGCTCCCGTCTTTGTCAAAGTAGGAAAACGCAGCCACCAAGTTCTCCTCTCTCTCCATCTTGTTCAAGTGCAACGTCGCTGCAAGGAATTCCCCATAGTCAATCGTCCCACTGTTGTCTATATCCGCCTGCCATTTAAAATTCAACTACAGTTAAAAAAGGAACCTTTACAAAAAAAACGACAAACAAAAGAACCGAGACATGGACAAATTAGAACGAATCAGAAGAAAGCGTTGAATCTGTAATCAAAATGGTGAAGATGACTCCACAAACATAGCCACTAAAAGATTACTCGCCATTAGATTCCAAAATTGAGGATATAAGCCTATTGTGAGGCCATTTCATGTGAAAGCAGAATTCGTAATTTACCGCGTCCATCAGAGACTTGATTTCTGATTCCATCAGTTCAGACCCGACTCTCTTCAAACCTGTTTTGAGCTCCTCGAGGGTAATTGTACCGCTGTTGTCTGTGTCAATCATTTTGAATAGTTCCTTCAGGCCACCAATTTCTTCCTCTGAGAGTCTCTCGGCGATCACCTATGAGAAAGTAATTTCCGCTAACATAAAGCAACGGATGAAAAAATACAAATAGAAGACAAGAGAGGACAATAGAAAATGTGTCATCAGGAGGCTCCATTACCCGTAAAGCCATCTTTTTAAGTTTATTCATCTCCGAGAACTGCTTTAGTCGTGTCAAGACTGCAGGGTCAAGAGGCTTGTCTGGTGCAGCTAGTTCATCGACAATCCACGGGTGACCTAACATTCAGACAAACACAAATCTTATAAACAAAGAAGATTAACAAAAACAGGAACTCGAAAGAGAACAAAGTAAGCTCTGAAAAACGAACCCAATAAATGACTTACACAATGCTTCATGGGCAGAAATCCGTTTCTTGGGGTTCCTCTCGAGCATTTTGCATATCAAATCTTTAGCGTCTTCCGAAATACTAGGCCACGGGTCAGATTTGAAATCTAATTTCCCTTGCAATATCTGTCTAAAGATGCCTGACTCAGTTTCTGCAACCCAAAGACAAAGATGTATAATTCATATATGTGTAAAGGGTACCTGCCCCGAAGGGCGGAACATAGTAACGAGTTCTGTAGTATACCTGCCCAGAAGGGTGGAACACCACTTAGTAAGATGTAAAGGATAACACCGGCACTCCACACATCAATCTCCGGTCCGTAACATTTTTTCAAGACCTCAGGGGCGACATAGTACGGACTCCCCACCACATCAAACAAATACTGTCCTGAAGTGCAAAACCAGTGGCAATTTTATTTACATAGGCAATGAGCATTCATCAGCCGAAACATTCTGACTATTTGGGGATTCATCGTTAAAAAGCAAATGAACAAGTGTCCAAGAGAGAATCAATGATTGCATGACAAGAAAATGCATGTAATAATCCAAGATAACATTTCCAATCAGAACTACACCAAAGAGATCAAAAGCAACCAAACAACATCTCCGCTCAGAAGGATTTGTATATGTCAACATAAATATATGGCCAAGCCTGGACTTGGAAGAAATTGACGGAAGAACATCTGTACAAGCACTTCTCTGACATTCTCATGCAAAATGCTTCATTGCCAGCAAACGGATTCAAATTCTAATTTGCATTCAACGAAACAAAATCCCAAATCTGCAACATACCCTAGAAATCCTGCAGATACCTTATATTATTGAACATCAAAATAGCCAGGACGAGTTCAATTTTCCAGTCAAGAGACGATAACAAACAACCTCTGAAGCACGCAACCAGATAAACATTTCCAGATATTTATGAAGAACACAGAGGCGATGCATTCAATCAACGGAAAACACCCATTTCCGGATAATTCAGAAGCAATCAATCGATTAACCCACCAACGAAAGCAATGAATCGAAAACGACAAACGAAATGCGGAATTGATCCAACCTGGCTTGTAGAAGATGGACAAACCGAAATCGGTGGCTTTAAGCCTCGCATCCTCCCTAGGGCTATCGAACAAGAAATTCTCAGGCTTCAGATCTCTGTGCATAACACCGAGAGAATGGCAAGCCTCGACGACGGCGAGAATCGTTTTGGTCAGCTTCGCGGCCTCGCGCTCGCTGAAATGACCCTTCGCCACGATCCGGTCGAAAAGCTCCCCACCTTCGCAGACCTCCATGACAAGATGAACGAAGACGGAGTCCTCGTACGTGCCCTTAATCCGGACAACGTTGGGATGCTCCGACAAGTGGTGCATGATCTGAATCTCCCTCCAGACATCATCATAGTCCTCGCGGCAAACGAGCTTGCGCTTTGGGATGGATTTGCACGCGTATTTGGCTCCGGTGGACTTCTCGGTGCACAGATACGTGGTGCCGAATTGGCCTTGGCCGAGCTTCTTGCCGAGGAGATAATGGTCCCGCAATCTCGGCGTCTGATAAGGGAGAACATTGCTCGAAGGACGTCTAGGGTTCGGTTTCTCCATTGATCACGATCTTAGATTTTCCAGAGCGTTGATCTGTTTCTCTTCCTCCCCGTATTTGTTTGCGTTCGTGAATGGACTTCTCCTCTCCCATTATTATTGTCAGCTCATAATTACCATATCTAAATATATAAACAGATGTCCGAATAATTAATTATAAAAAATATTCTCGGTCATATTTATATCTCTCTATCTAATTTAAGATTAAATACATTAGAAATAATAAAATTGAAATCGAAAAGCTTCATTTCATATATAAAAACAAAAAAACAAAATGGCATCAACACACATTACACATTACACATCCTTCACATTTTCTCTAAATTGTAATACATACATACATATATTAAAAAAAATAAGGGTTATGAGGTTAATTAAAACAGATATTGATATTAACCCATACTTGTTTATGTGACTGTTGATCGATAATGTATACAACTAATAAAACATAAAAAAAATGATTTTATTTGTTTGTGTATATTAAATAGTTATAAAAAGAAAAAGTATATTAGTTGTTGTGTGTGGGGGTATACATACATATATATATATATATATATAAGAAGATTTTTGAATTCAACACGTTTGTGGAAGTGACGGGAAAATAGTATAGTGTTGTGAAAACGGGAGATAATTTCATTTTTTGTTTAGTTTTAAAAGTAATTTTAGTATTTAAAAATGTAATTTTTTTTTAAATTTTTACTACACTTTTTTCACGTAATTTATAGTACACTTTTACAAATTAATTTTTATTTTGGTCGCATCTTTTTGTAGAACCCAAAAAAATAAAGAACGAGGAAGACAAAGGTCAACGTTGATATTGTAGGATCCACGCCTCTCCTGGATCAACCTAGACATGGTCAACGTTGATAAAATTATTACACATATCATATGTATAATATATATATTATGTATATAACAAATTTAATCATTTTATGACAAAAACAATCATTCACAATTCAAATAAACTTCATTTTGCAATGGCAATATATGTTTCTTGGCACTATTTTATATTTTGGTTTCGTTATTTCTTCAGAATTTTTTGTTTAAAATTATTATATTTTTTTATATTTTATATCCGGTTCAATTAATTTTTTTAAAAATTATCTTCATTCTATTATTTTATACTTAATTATTTTTATTTTAAAAATATTTAACTTAATCGATTATTAAATAAAATTATTTGAATTTAATTCCATCGTATATAATTTGATTTAATTTTATAATATTCGAAAACAAAATGAGCTACAGATATTATACCAAAAAAAAAAAATTAAAACATATTTTCTGGAGACATCTTAAAAATGAATGAGGACTTTACCCAAATATAAATTAGAAATCTATTAAATCCTTATAACTTTGAAAATATTGATGTTAAATTTCATTAACAATGTTTGATGTCTTTTTCTCCACTCTTATGTAAAATAAATTTATATGATTGTCAAATTCATCAAAATCCCTTTTAAATCTTCCAATAATAACTTACATTGTAACATACACTAAATACAGATTTTCATGGCTACATTTGCAGATGTTATACCAAATCGAGAAAAAACACTCAAAAAATCTTAAAAAAAAATAGAAAATAAATCACACACACACAAGCAAATTAGAGATTTTATGTCTATTTGCAAAACAAAAAAAGACAATTTTAAAATTCGTTACCAAAAAAAAAATTAAACCAAATCATACGTATGTGAATTAAAATTCGATCTTATCTAAAATTTAATAAAATGTAATTTTTGTTAGATTCCACTCACCAACTTGATTTTTTTAAAATAAAAAATAAAAACCAATTAATATTCCGATTTTTTCCTTTTTTAAGATAAATACACTAGGGGTGGGTATTTCGGGAATCGATTCGGGTTCGGGAACAAGAATATATCAGTTCAGTTTTTTCAGTTTTATAAAAATAGATACAAACCGGTTTTTATATTATGTTCGGTTCGGTTTTGGTTTCGTTTTTTTAAGATAGATTTCTTTTAAAAAATTTCGGTCTTTTAGGATTTTTTAAAGTTCGATTCCGAAAAATTCGGTTTCTAAAAATAGTACTATTCGAAAATTTAGAACAGTTCGAATCGAGAAAATATTGTATCAATAAAATAATCACGATTTTTTTTTAATAATAAAAATTTGGATTTGGGCTATGACTTATGATTAATAGCAACCGTACACGAAATTGAAATTAGTGATAAAGCCCCGAAGAGGTGTGACCATAAAGCTCAATCCGAACCAAAGTGAGTTTAAAGGTCTGTTCCGTTTGAACGGTTAGTAGAGGTAAACGCCCAAATAAGGCTCAGCCCAACTCTAATTGGCCCAAATCAAAGACCTAACGTCTTCACCTTCATCTTCTTGAATCTTTGCAGAGAGAGAGAGAGAGAGAGAGAGAGAGAGAGAGAGAGAGAGAGATGATCACAAGAAACCGTTACAGTTTCTGAAGAACAAAAGAAGAAAAAAAACATGTCAGGAACTGAAGCCGAGAAGAAGAGGAAGAAGAAGATTTCAGACAGAAGAGAAGACTGTTTCTTCATGGGCTGAGAAGAAGAGCCTGGCTGACAAAGAAGCAGAGACATTAGCACAAGACATCCAACATCTTCATAAATGGGTACTTCTCTAATGGTTCATATCTCACCAAAAATTCCATCTTTACAGAATATGCTTTGACAAGTTTATGCCTTTCACAGGTCAATATGATCGATACCATGAACAAAGAACAGCTGAAACAGTACATAGTTCATGAGTCCGAGGAGTTGGAAGATCTCAGGAGCAATCACAGGAGAAGCAAGGTAAAAAGACTTGCAAATTTGAAGAATTGCTCAAATCTTATTTCCACCTCAGCCAAAATAAAGAAAACACTGCCAATGGATGAAAGCAAAACACATGGTGCAGGCGAAAAGGGTTTCAAAGAACAAATCTCCAAGTTCAAGTGGAATCATGGCTTCGATATGGAAATTTCACAAGGAGGACGACGAAGAAAACACTGTAAAAATATGATAATTGACACTTTGAGCAGATACTGTAGAATGGTTCTTTTAACTCCAATGCCGTTGCTGTTTTATACCATTGTTTCCTAAATATATGGATGGATCTCATAAATGTCTTCTCTTCACTAGAATCATGAGAGCTTAAGAACCTGGAAGACCTTTGCTTTCGACTGCCAATCCTCGCTTAAATGCAGGTCTAAAGGAAATTTGGCTGCTTAGGTTTCGCACATTTCCCATCCGTTTCCGCAAGAGCTCGGAGGATCGCGTTCTTGACCCTTCGATTATCATTTTGACATCATTACAAGCAAAGCATAGCATAGCATATGACAGGGCAAGAAATGCACGACGGAAAGCAAGAGGATTTACTCCCACATGCCCGACAAAGCACGACAACTGCAGATGTTCAAGACAACAAGAGCCGTGTATGGTTGTTTGTTATCATGAACTGGTACAAGTTCTCAAACTGCATTCACTAGAATCACAATGTTTGCCTCGACCACATGGAAAATCTCAAACCCATGTCCAGATGCAACTGAGTGAGCTAGCAAAGGAAAAGCAGCAGACTTCATTTCATTGCACCCGAAATCCACAGAAAACGTAGATGCTTCGTAACATGACAAACTTCGGACACACAGCAGTTGTGATCAGATGCTAGATGGTCACAAGTTGCGTTCTTTAAAATCACGTTGCCTTCAACAGCCACGTTGTTGAGCTCATGAAAATCAAAGGCGTCATAAGTACAATGATATACAACTGAACATAAACCCATATAAGTCAAATAACATTATGCCTGGGAAAAAGACATCAGCTTGACAAAGAAACAGACAAGAAACGCAACACCCAGATTATCTGAGAAACCACAGAATCCATGGTATCTCCGATGAACCTTCAACCGATTAGTTGCCTTTCGAAAGATGAACACCACATCAGTCCATGGAGGGTGAAGAATTATTCTGCCTTGCCACTGCAGCGACGGAATCAGACGACGATTCTCGTCGGAGCTCCTTGACGACGGCGGCAAGAGCCTCCGGATTGACACCGAGGTCGCAAAGAGCAATAAGAACCGACAATGTATGGCGGTCGAGCCCCGTCTCGAGGATGTTCGACATCCGAAACACGAGCTCCAGGGACTCACGAGCGGTCCGAGCTGCCTCCTGATCCATACCCAACGGATCTTCTGAACCCGAAATTTAGACGTTCGTCGGCGAAATCTAGGGTTTATCGCCAAGTGGGTGCCGAGACACAATCTGAAATTAACTTCTCTGAGCCTCTGCACCAATTTGGAACAGTGAAAAAATAGTGTGAAAATGGGTTTTCTCGAGTCAATTCCACAAGTACGATTTCAAAACCCTAATTTGCGAATCTCAACACAATCGATGGAAAAAGAAAAAGCGTCGACGTGGAAACGAACCAGAATGATCCAAACAACGAAAATCACCGAAATCAATATCTGTTTGTGAAAATGATAGATCAACGAGACAGAAAACTCGTTCGCGCTGTTCTAAAAAAAAAACGAAAAACGTCGAAGCAGAAAAAACCACGTCCAAATCTCCTGACGAAGAATCAAACACCAAAAGCGAAATTTTCGAACCTAAGTGAAATGTAGGATGGAACTAAGAATCTGAACCTGGAACGACGACGCCGGCGGCAAAAAGATGTCCCTCAAAGACAATCGCCGGCGAACTCACAGCGTTAGAGAAAAAGGAAGATGAGGGAGAGCTGCAAAAGTAGGAAAACAAGCCGACTCAGGGTGGACATACAGATGTCGGGTCAAACGGGTCGACCCGAGTGGGTTAACTCAAATAAATTTTTTATGAATTTTTTAAATTTAATAAATAAATACATAAATTTTTAAACTGATTTTGGGAAAGTTAAGAGAGAAAAAATCTATATATATTAATAAAGGAGTTTAAAGGATTGTGGTGAAGACACCTCATCATCCAAATCATCAAGTTTATCAAATTTAATTGGTCATTTGAAAACACCTCATCATCCACATCATCATCTATATATCAATTTTACAAATTAAAATTATTATCTCTACAAATTACAATTATATTATTTCAAGAAGTTCATGATTATAAATTAATTTCTACTCATCATCTATGTATCGATTTTGTATGCATAATCTATTATAGTTTTAAAAAAAAATTCATCTTTACAAATAAAAATGATAATATTTTTAAAAAATATGATAATAAATTAAATTATAAAATGCCACAATATTATTATATTTATCAAATAAAATTTATTCACAAAATATTGGAAAAATCTTGAATACAAATTAAATTCTAAAACTATATAATTCTCAAACATGACCACGCACTTATTTTATACACCTATGTATATTATGTGTGATTATGTACATAACAGTCATACATGTATATAACAGACCATGCAACTATTTTTTAGACATGGGTAAAAATTTTTAGATTAAACTTTTACCGAACAATAACACACACATCATATACAGTTCAAAATAAAATCTATGGTGATAATTTATAAGTTTTATATATGTATACGTATGCATATATATATATATGTGTGTGTTTATGTAAATAAATGAACTACATATATATAACAGACCATTTGGCTGTCTGATTACTTCATTGGGATGTTTAATTTTTTTTTATCCATATGTTAATTGAATATATTCCTATTAAAAATAATTCCAACATATTATACATAGTAACGTCTTTTAAAAAAACTATAAAATTAAATAGATTTAGTGGGTAAATAAATACTAATAGGAGTGGAGGTTAGCATAAAAGGTAACGTTCCCAAAATAACTATAATTATATCAATTGAGTGATTAAAATTTTGAGTAATTAACATTTATTTTTGAAAAACCACAATACCCAAGACTTTAACATCCATTAATAGCAGCCGCCGCTTGATATTTCGTCCTTCAATATTTATGTCTACTGAGTGGAGGTTACATTCAGAATTTATCATCCTGACGAATCATTTGGCCAAATTGAATTATTTCGTCATTGACCATGCGGTCTTTAATCACATTTATGTCAAATAATTTAATAATAAAATAATTAGAATAACGTTAGCCCATAATTTACCAAAACGTCTTTGCTCATGCAACATCAGAATGTCTTTGCTACATTATATAAACCTCTCTGTTCATGTCCTCCTGATTTACCAGAAAATATTATTCATATCTCAAAGACGCTGTTGCACAAAAACTTTACTATTTTTAAAAAATATGGCTTCCTTTTGGTTTTATACTCTTTCCCTTCATACCTTTGGACGTGTTGCTTTTGTAATTTCCTTTCTTCCTCATATTGAACTTTACAACGTCCACGGTCATGGATGACTCGTTGGTTTTCGTTCGGTCGTGGAAGACTATTACCACGTTCTCGGTGGGGTTGAGTCGCTTGATGTTGTTTTTGAACGCTTTCAAGGCGAGCAAGTCACCCTTCAATGTCTTGAAGTATGGTCAATGCATGCGTGTTGTTCTTGACTTTATCT